CAGTCTGCCCTTTTTAGATGTGCACATCACAAGGACCGAAGATGGACACTTGGAACACACTGTCTATAGAAAACCAACACACACTAATAGATATCTGAACGCTAAATCTCATCACCACCCATCACAGATACAGGCAGTGGCAAATACATTAATTGCTCGGTCCTTCAGGCTCACAAACGAGAGGAACAGAGATAAAGAACTGAAGAAAATTAGTACCTGTCTTCGACAAAACGGATACCAAAGGCGTACCATCAGCAAGGCAATCAGTAAACAACAACAGCCGCAGCAGAGAGTGCAGGACGAGACCCAACGAAGATCGATCGCTGTCCTGCCATACATCAAGGGGGTTACTGACAAAATCGGCCGAATATTACGGAAACACGACATATCAACGGCATACAAACCTGACCATACCATCAGAGCATAAGAAACCCGAAACAAAAAATTACTCTGGAAAACCAAGGAGTATACAGTGTAGCATGCGGATCGTGCAGCCTGACGTATGTGGGACAGACCAACAGAAGGATTTCAGCCAGGCTCGAGGAACATCGTTTAGCCATAAGAAACAAACAAACAACATCTGCTTTATTTCAGCACCAACATCAGACAGGCCATAAAATTGATTTCGGCACTTGCAAACAAATAGCTAATATTCCTGATTTTAGGACTGGGATTATAAGAGAGGCCATCGAAATAGAAAAGTCCGGACACCTCAATGCGAGAGACGACGCTCTGCATTTATCCAACACGTGGAGAACGATAATCAAACAGCAGAGCGATGCGCAGCAGCCAACGGGGACATCGCAACTACGATCGGGCGAAATTAACAACGCGACAATTCAGGGGGCGGAGCCACCTCCCCCCACGCACAAGCAGCACCGTTACCATCTCCGGCGTAGAGTATAAATACCGCACGCACCGCCGATAACCTCCCAGTGTTCGAAGTGTTTTCGGAGCGCGAGCATTGAAGATGCCAAGTGAGATTTTGGCGAAACGTCTGCAGGATTCCAGTCGGATGCAGGATTTGCAGGATTCCAGTCGGAGTTCAACGAGCGAACGGATGATATCCCGGAGTATAGTGTCATCATATATATATATATATATATATATATATATATATATATATATATATATATATATATATATATATATATATATATATAGGAACCCAGCTTGCACTAACCTTCCGCATACCTAAATAATCATGCAAGAATCGACGAACCCTAAAATCGGAAAGCTTAGTAATTTCTGAGATTTCCTTGACCTTTAAAAGTCGATCACTCAATATCACCTCTTCCACAATCGCAACAATATCTTCTGCTATGACCTCCACGGGTCGACCAGTTCTTGAATCATCTTCAAGGGACTCCTGCCCCATTCGAAAATGTTTTGCCCATTCTTTCACTACAGAATATGAAGGACAACTTTGACCGTACACACCATCCGGCCTTTCTTTAATAATTTTAGGTGCTAACCCTTCTTTTGTCAAAAATGTTATGACTGCTCTATACTCAATTTGCGTCATTTGCGACATTTTTTCGGACACGTCTTGTTTAAAATGCTGTCAATAAAAAAATATTTGACCCAAGACTTCAATTTTTTTTTTGCAGCCTACTAAGATTTAAAAGAAGACAAAGTTTTATGGTGACACTGGAGCTGCATCTTTGTCAGGCCGGGAAATTTTGGCGCTAACCTCGTATTTGGAAATAGTAATGTACCATCTGACTGGATGTTGGGTTATTTAGTAAACCTCTTATATATTATTATAATGGAGATAAAATTGCGACTTATGAAAATCCTAAAAGACTAAACATCAAGGTATGTGTCTGCTTCGGAAATGGGGATCAAAGTCGGCAATAAAATTTGTCATTTAACACGTCACCTTTCATCTCCGACGCAACAGTCGTAAAATTGGAATTTTTTAAATACCCGCTATTTTTTTGCAACGGAGCCCATGATAATAGTAAATAAATAAATAGGTCTCAATTTTCCAGCATAATTCAAGGGAATACAACAACAATTTTTTTTTACTAACTAGGTCGTTTTTACTAGCAAAACAGGCCCTGTTTTTCATCTTAAGGGAAGAAAATATAAACTATTTATTGAAACTCTAATATCTTAAGTAACTAATAGAATATATAAATAGAAAATTATAAATATTATGAATTAAACAAATAGGTTTTATTGATTTTTGAAGCATTCAAATTTGCTTTTTAATACTAGGTTTTATTTTTGTTTTTTTAAATAATAATTACAGTTCTGCAATTGATGAACGCTGTTCTCTTAATGTTTTTTTGAACTGTGACAAAGTTTTTCTCTTGAGTGAATTAGAATAGTTACTGTACACTTTACTGATTTGAAAGGAAAATGATCTTTTAAAAAATTCTGTTTTGCGTCTAAGAAGATATCTTAATTGGCGGTTATAGCAGCAAAATCAAAATCTTGTTATACAGATAAGTTGTCTTTTTGTTTTATAAGATTTTATGAAACATACACGTTGCATGGACTATTCTTTCTCGTTTCATATTCAACCACATGATTTTAGTGTCACATATCTATTTATTTATTACTGTCGCATATTTATAATTGCTGGCACATAATATAATATGCTGTTTTAGTCTGATACCACAAACCAGTATTAGAAATGAATTTTACATTACCTATGACAGAAAGATCTTCGTAGTTAAATCATGAAAATACTAAAGATTCGCAGGTAATTATTTTAATTGTTTATGTGTGGCTTAAATCTCAAAGAGCTGTCAAATGTCAATCCAAGGTTTCTAGTTATGGGACGGGACGTATACTTTCGCTATCCGCTTTTATGAAAAAGACTTGTTGGCGGTGTTTTTTTTTACTTTTATTTTTTCCAAAGATCATTAAATTAATTTTTTTGGCACTTACCTTGAGAGAATGGTTATTTGACAAATTAATAATACTAGTTATGCCTTCGTTAATTATATGACGGCCAATAAATAGGGCCCTGGTGAAAAAGTCATATGTATAATATCCTGGATTGTTATATCTAATAAATGAGTTCACTTTACACCTGTAACAAATATAAAGAAGAGGTCCTAAAACTGATCTTTGGACCACTTCGGATATAACATCCCTAGAATGCGAAATATGATTATTATATTTGACTCAGTTAACATCTTATGCTCGAAATATGCCTTTTTTTCATGTCTACAAGCTATAGTTGTATAATTGCGTAGTATATTATAGTAGCCACGATCATCTTCTCTTCTAAGGGGTGTTTTTTTTCGATGTATAGAACTTTAAGTTGCAATAAAACAACGATGGGTTATTCGATTGGCATGAGTTTTATTTATGATTTCTGGCATAGGACCGCCACGGCTGGCACGGATGTAGTCCAATCTGGACGTCTAATTTTCGATGACTTTTTCCAACATTTGTGGCCGTATATCGGCAATAACATGACGAATGTTGTCTTCCAAATGGTCAAGCGTTTGTGGCTTATCCGCATAGACCAATGACTTTACATAGCCCCACAGAAAGTAGTCTAACGGTGTTAAATCACAAGATCCCAGGAGGCCAATTCACAGGTCGAAAACGTGAAATTAGGCGGTCACCAAACGTGTCTTTCAATAAATTGATTGTGGCACGAGCTGTGTGACATGTTGCGCTGTCTTGTTGAAACCACATCTCCTGGACATCATGGTTATTCAATTTAGGAATACCGATCACCATTGACTGTAACGTTCTGGCCATCATCGTTTTGAAGAAGTACGGACCAGTGATTCCACCAGCGCACCGAACAATCAGTTTTTCTGGATGTAACGGTGTTTCGACATACACTTGAGGATTAGCTTCGCTTCAAATGCGGCAGTTTTGTTTGTTGACGTAGCCACTAAACCAGAAGTGCGCTTCATCGCTAAACAAAATTCGCTTATGAAAATCGGGAACAGCGGCAATCTCGTTTTGGGCCCATTCGACGAATCTACGCCTTACTTGATGATCGTTTGGCTTCAATTCTTGCACGAGTTGGATTTTGTAAGCACGTAAACCAAGATCCTTCGGCAAAATCTTTCATAAAGTGGATGGACACAGGTCCAATTCCTTTGCTCGATGGCGGATGGACTCATTCGGGTCTTCCTCAATTCTACGGTCTACAGCAGCAATAACTTCTTCTGTAGGCACCGTACGGCGTCTCTGGGGATGCGAGTTATCAATAAGAGTAAACGTGGTGCGAAAACGTTCGATGGTTAATCGAATTAACTGCTCTGATAGACGATTTTGTCGACGATAAAATGGACGTAGTGCGCGATACGTATTCCGCACAGAACCATTATTTTCGAAATAAAATTGCACTATTTGCAAGCGTTGTTCAGGCGTGAGTCTATTCATGATGAATTGCCAAACCAAACTGAGAATAAATCACTTGACAGCTGTTAAATCGGTCGCCATCTTGAACAGTAATGCCAACTTAAAGTTCTATTCATCGAAAAAAAAAACACCCATTAGATCTCTTCCACTTTGACTTAGCTTTATGTTTTGTACTGTTTTCTCTCTTTAATGATTTTTAATCTTGCGTCTTTATCAAATAATGATAAAATCTGTCCAGTAAAAAAGTATATTTTCCCAATTTGATCAGAAATATTATAAATCTGATAAAACGGCATTCAGGCAAAAAATGTTCTTAATTCATATTTTAAAAATATTTAGTTGGTGCTTTAAAGTTTTTCGATAATTGTTACTTATGAAACTCCACAATCAGGTTAAATTTTGAACAGTCCAGTCAAAATCTGACGTATCCATAAGTGTTTCATGTTTTCTGCATTTCTACATCATATTTAAAATAATCGACATGAATATTATAGATCGTTACTATTATCAATACCATTATTATTAGACAGTTATTAGACAGTATTAATTAATTTTTAGACAGTGTCAGTTAAGTTCTGAAGAAGCCAACAGGCTGATTGGCGATACGTCAACAAGTTTGATTTATAAACAACCGACAATAACACTGTTAAAACTACCTTGTCACTATCTCAATTCCGGCTTGTGAACATCTAGATTCGAGATCTTCGACGGTCGAAATAAAAACCTCCTCGGCTTGTTGCAAGATGGCTACCCGAGACCAACCGAACTTCTTCATCAGTTTAATTCGCGTCGGATTGTGGACAGTGGCCGATGGATGCGTTCGGAATAACGTTGGAAAACGGTTTCTGTCCGATAGAGCTGGCGAACTTGCCCCGTAACATAACTGCAACATATAATTAAAACGAAAAATTCATAAATCAATTAGCTAAATGTAGGTAAAGCAAGAAACTGGCAAAAAACGCAGTATCAGTCACTACATTAATTTAATTTATAACACAGGACAAGTGTTTTGACTAAAATGGCACTCCTATGATGATGCCTAATATACCGTCATTTGTTCATTAGAACCCTAAAATGTTCTGTTTTAGGCGCTTTGATAATTCTGTTTCGTTTGAATTATAATTTTCTTATAATACTTTTGTTACCTGTAAGTGATTTTTCCTAATCTTCCCACTTTCTTTTCCCTGACAGTAAACCGTTAATGTATATTATTCTTGTGTAGTGGTTAGTCATGTTTGTGTTATCTTTTTGATTCGATCAGAATATTCGTTATAGGAGAATTTGAAGTCTACATCAACAATTTTTTTCGTGTTTGACCCCAATAAATTAATATTTTGACTGATACCCCAGAGTTTTTTAAATTTTAAACATTTTTTATAAATTTCATTTCCGTATAAATATTTCATAAAAATAGCTTATTTTAAAATCCTGCCTCCTTTTGTATTAACAGGTTTGCATATGCATGATGCTTCGACAGTAATGCTTGGCAAACGACGTTTCTTTATATAAGATCTCTGATTCCATATGTTCAACAGTGGAGACATTTGAACATTTAAAAATATCATAGAGAACTAGATGTACTAAAAATTTTATTTAAACACCAAATGACGCGCTAATTTCCTATTTTTCCAGAAAATTAAAATTCGGCAATTTTTTTTCCAAATTCAAACTATTTAATTAGGTTTGGTTATCTAACTCGTCATCAAATTCACTCGTATTTTGCGACAATGTGTATATTATGAAGGTTATTTTAAAAAGTAAATCGTAATATCCCAACAGTAAAACTTTTTGAAAAATTTGTATTTTGACCATAAATGAGTTTCGTGAAGACGTCAGCAGACTAGATTTCCCCCAAAAGAAAAGTGTAGATTTTAGCTGTAGCAACAAACATATTTGTAGAAAATATCTAGTTTTGACTGGCACTGGTAAACTTTCTTAGATTTCAGGATTTAGAAACTTTAAACGATGCTTCTTACCAAATATAATCGTAAGGGTCAGTTGACTTAAGTAACAACGATAGTTGAGACTAAAAAATAATAATAATAATAACTATACGTAGGTTTTTGTCTTGATGTTACAATATCCAGTAAGAAACTTAAACAGCCACCCAAAAAGTGTGACAAAAAATGAATCAAGTAAATACACATTTTATAAGAAATTTAGACATAAAGGTTTAGTTCAGATCAGCATTGCAGGAATGCTGACTGTTACATTAAACTTAGTATTCGACATAAGGAAATATACAGACAAATATATTAAACATATCATTTCACAAACTTGGTAACAGCAGGTACAATAAAACGATTTTTCATTCAAATAAATTTCTATTGAGTGAGCTATAAGTTCGAAAGCTGATTATATTATATAGATACTGCGGCGTCATCAGTGCAATTATAGTAACCAAAGAGTATAAGTTAGAGGGGAAGGTCGCGTATACTGTTACGAATACCATCTATTATTTGTGTCCAAGTACTAAAGTACTGTCATGGCGTTTTAAAGTAATGCGTCACACTGAAAATACTACAGTAGCTTGTAACGCATGACAGCACTTTATTTATATTTTAATAAAAAAAAAATTAAAACTATTTCGACATATATTTTTTTCACATTTTACCTTTCAAACTTTAAATTGAATTGACTGGACACAATCACTAGAGGCGTTGAAACTCGTGTACCCTTTTTAACATTGCCACTAATGTGAGCCTTCCCTTCTATTTTATACTCTTTGGTAGTAACAATGGGAGATGCAGAATGTAAAAAAAATGCGATTGCGTAGACAAAAACTTTGTTGCTTTTTTATTCTGCAATTATCTTGGGCTGTTCAGCGATGCCATAGACAACATCATATGTCATTTGAAATAAGACTAATAAATCACAAAGAAATAATGTGAGAAGTCTACAGAAAATTTGTCTTTATTGAAAAATTAATTTTAAATTCATGTGTGCTTTTTTTACACATTTAATAATAACAATAACGTCAATTCGCGGAAATTTTGTAACTGATTCTATTAAACTTCCTGATGCTCTAGGAGAAGCGATAGCAATAATTCTGAATCTTCTGTAGCCTATTGCAGTCCCTCCGCAGCAGTGCTGGTCCATACACGAAGTCGCAATAGGATACTCTAGACAGAATTAAACTCTCACACAAGGACAATTTTAACTCTGGTGGCATGATATTCTTGTGTGGGTAGACTTGTTTGTAGTAGTAGAGTAGAAGTAGCATGTTTGGTGAGGCGCAACTCACTGTCAAGCCACAACCTCAAGTTCCTGACCTCATCGACCTGGGAAAGATCTCATCCCAAGTTCTTACTGTGTCAGAGATGTAGATGGAAAAGAGTAGGGGCCCAAGTATAGACCTCTGAGGAACTCCATGCGGCGGCTTCATTGCAGCCGGCAACTTACTATCACATCAGACCATCTGCTGCCGATCCAATTTATTACACAACGTGGAATGATAAACCCTTTCAAAAGTTTTACTATAGTCAAGCAGTATCAAACTAGCACTTGAAATTACATTATTTTGGAGGACATAATCAGAGATTTGTTTCTGAATAATTTTTTCCAATGCTTATTTTCGTAAGTTCCAAAAATCTTTTGGGCTAGACATCTTCGCCAAAGGTCCACCAATTGCTACTTTCCATGATCTTGGAGCTACCTTCCATGCTCATTTGATTTTAAACTGAATTGGATTAGCTTCTATTTTTAATACATTATTGTAGATTTGGACATATTTGGGACATTTTTAGAAAACACTGTGAGCTTATTAATGTCGTAGTTTAAAGCGGAAATTGCTTGATTGGCTTTATCTATCTGAAATGAGAGATACATTTGAGTATTATCTGCATTGAACTGATGCAGACACGAAAATACTTTTGAGAATTGTGATATATGAATAGAGAAACACAAAGGTCCACAAATAGGGACTTCAGAGGATACTTTAAGGGAACTTAACATTCTGCCACCAAAAACCGCTAAACCTGGGATTTACCAAGCAGCAAGTGGTAACAGCCAGAAAACGACGCATTGGTGTACCACTGATACGTCAGAGAAATTGATATCGTGAAACTATAAAGTTAAAACTTCAATTACTACAAATAAGGAACGTTATTAATGACCTTATAAATAATTGAATTAACATGTCCACCAATATTTATTGATAAAAGACAAAGTTTCTTTTGGAATTTTAGTATTTTAGAGGATCTGCACAAATATCTTTTGGAGGAACATAACAACCACATCACGATAATCTTCGCATTGTACTTCTAACGCTAATTTCCTGAGATGGAACATTAACAGCACTCAAGAAATTTTCTTTGCACATAGTGAATTGATTTCTTGCAAACAACTGAGCCAAGGTTCCTGTGCCGGTTCCAAGACGATAAAAATCTTCATCCAATTATTTCTAAAACAACAAATACTTTATTTTTTGCTTGTTGTTCCAAAGAACGATGAGCTTTCTTAAGAGATTTTTATTTGTTTCAAAAGATGGCAAGTCAGTAGAATCTTCCGAAACCGTTTCTGGATTTTCAGACAGTACTTTCTCAAGGTCTTCTTTATTGTTCGAGTTTGGTAGTAAAAGACATGACACGTAATAATTGAATTGCAAAGACCCATTTTCATTATACTATATTATACATTATATTATATTATTCATAGCGTGAACTAATCTTATTCACTCTATTTGGTGAGGTGATCTTGATACACCATGATAAATTTAAAATGATTGTCGGGATTTGATTGATGCATATCAATCAAATCGTTTTGCATCATCAATGTATAATATATATCTAACTACCAATCTTGGGTTTGTTTATATTTTTCTATATATATTATATATACAATTTGTGTCTGTCTGCCTTTCAGTTGTCGTCTTGTATGAGCGTATTCTTAATTTATGTAAGGTACTATATTATTTAAAAAAATTGATTTTGTAGGTCTAATGATGCCCGTTTGGACGAAACACGTGTGATGGGCGATTTGATATAATGAAGGAGATTCCAATTATCTCTATAGCGCCATCTTTAATTTGACGATAGTGTTATTATAAGACAAACGATTCCTACTTTTAGCAATGCGGTGTGTTAAATCCTAAGATTTACTGTTTGTGTCCGGTAAAAGTCTGAAATCGAACCAAAACATCTAGTTTTCGGGTTTTTACCACTTACTGTTGGTAAATCCTAGGTTTAGCGCGCTTATCTTAGGTTTTACAGAATTTCGGGCATGTGCTGTAACATAAATAATAATGCACTGTTTTTTTTTTTTATTTTCCTTTTACAGTGAAGTTTCAGTATTGTTTCTATTATTATTATCTAACTATATATAAATACATCTTTTCTCATATTTCATGTGATGGATGTGTTTCTACCGAAACACACTGGGTTCAGAAGCGGCGAAAACAATACACCGCCTATACTATACTAACGGAGTGTAAAACAAAAGTACAAATTGCATGTACCGGTCGTACCGAGTCTGGTCGAGCAGATCGAAATCGAACAAAACAATCAATAGCACGTCAACACAAAAAGAAACTGGCCACCCCGCGCTCCTTCGCCGACTTTGTCTCCGACAATTGGCAATAGAGGGCGCTCCGCACATCACCACTACACAGTACACTCCGACCAACTTTTAAACCATCACAATCAGAAGTAATACACCGAAGTAATATGCCGAGAATATCGACAGAGAGCAATTAAACAGGCTTTTTTTCATAAAATAAAATGAATCCATAGATAAAAATATTTTTTGATCGAGTTGATCAAGACGTACTTCTAAAAAAATTATGTGTATGTGCATCGTACTTAAAGGAAAGAATAATGTACCTTGTGGTAAATAGTGTAGAGTCATATGAATTTGTCCTATTTTTAGGCATTCTGTAGGGATCGA